AGACGCCTGATCAATCCAGGACCGCCCACCACCGGTAGTGGTGCGTGGCTGGCATAACGTGTGAAATCAGCTAAGTTGATCCCCATATCAACCGATAGAACGACTGACATCTCCAGAAAACTTGTTTGTACGTGCCTCTTCCCCAAGCCAGCCTCCTTCACTGCTAGTGGGAAAGAGGGTTTTGTTAACGGCCTTGTCGACGGTTTTTCTCAGTTTTTCTCCACTGTCGTTCCACTTCGCATCTCTATACTCAGATTAACCCTTTGACGACCGCGCGCTCTAAACGTGTCTAGCGTGTGGGACCGCACGCCAGACACGCATGTGGCCCGCCGGCGGGCCATACGGTCCCACACGACCGACTTGGTGTGGCCCGCCGGCGGGCCATACGGTCGTCAAAGGGTTAAGCCGCCATAATACCCCCTTATGGGGCCCGACTTTAAGATCTCGTGAGACACAACAAAAGAAATGGGGAAAGCGCAGATCCTTGTTGGAAAATTTCATTAAAGTGTCTGCTGACGTTTCTTCGCTAGGTTTTTTGGATATGGTAAAGCATGCTAACCCACACGATAAGCTCTTCAGTATCGCTATTTTGTCGTAAGGGGTGTCATAATATAGGAGTGTTTGGAAAGCTGTGTAATTCTGTTCGATGTTCAGGAGGCGCTAAAAGTGATTAACTAAAAACCCACTGGGGTCTGAGCCAAAACCTGGATCGTAAAAGAAAAGTATCGGTAGAATGCAGGACGTATGCAACATTTGGTGTGCTTCATCTCGTAAATATCATGCATATGGTAAGATGTTTGAAGCAAAGAGATTACAGTGCGTCATACTGACCACAATATACTCAAGTAAGTCCCACTCATCTTGTGCCTTATTGTACCCTGATACGCTGTAGCAAGACGACACTTCATAATTCATCATGGATTCTCCACTAATTCGAACTAACCTGTGTGTACACTAGTGGTACCGGCACCCAGTCAAAAAGCCACAGGTTGATGAGGCTAGATCGGAAGACTGCAATTCTCTAAAAGAAAAAATGCTTTGCTGATCCTCAATGATGATGTGTTTGATAGTAGTTTTTCGACCAAGTTGTTTATTTAACCCAAAGTGCCAAACTCTCTTACATGTTCCCCCATTTTTTACGCATACCAGGAGTGAGCTAAAATTGAACGTATCAGGAGGACATTAAATTAAGCCCTTCTGGCGGAGCAAGCACCCGAAGGAACTTCAGCATGCCTGACCTCCTTCGCGAGCTGTCCATGCGCTATCAGTGTCTCGCCAGGACCACATGCCTCAGATGACTGCCACGGACTGCTGAATAGATCGTACAACGATGTTTCATCGATTCCACAATTCCATTGTAGCCGTGGTAGGAAGAGTGTGACAAATCGGTGCAGTAGCCGCAAACTTCAACGCTTGACTAGAGTGCGTCACTTACAGCTGCGACCGCCTTTAGCGTGAACGGAACGTATTTGGTGCGCGTCCCAATCGTCTCCAAGTCTTTCAATGACATCGTCCCCCCATCACTTACTCGCTAGAATATGTCGCCTTGCATACTGAACTGTCTACATACTTGGCAGGACTATACCCCACTGTTTTGTGTCGACAGTTATCAAAGTCATGGTTAAGTGGAACCTTTTCGCTCGCAAGTCACGCAATGAAGCACTGCTGGGGCATGGGCAAGGCTATATGGTTAACACGGTGAAACTCCAGTTCGGGGGGGGGCACTCTCATTTTTTCTCCAATACTCAAGATAAGGATTAGAGGGCTCACGACACGTAATCGACTCATTTAAAGTAGACTTCTGATAAATATTGGTGTAATGGGTGAAAAACCCTGAAACGTTTTCACATTTCCGCCTGCCATGACCCAAGGGAACGGTCTGGACCAGGAGAAAGGACACCTCCGCAAAGGGCTAAAGGATGCAGGAGCTCCAGAGTGGATCACCTGTGCAAAAAAGTGGATGGGATGTGGGCAGGTAGGAATGTAGGACATCCACCGGTCCTTATCAAAAAAACACTCGAAATGAGTCGTTCACTTATTATCTTATCCGTACTGTTCGATAGCCCAAAGAACTGCTCTCTAGTACTACGGATAAGATGATAAGTGAACGATTCATTTCGAGCATACGTTTGATAAGGACCGGTGGATGTCCTACATTCCAACCTGCCCACATCCCATCCACTTTTTTGCACAGGTGATCCACTCTGGAGCTCCTGCACCCCTGGCCCTTTGCGGAGGTGTCCTTTCTCCTGGTCCAGGCTGTTCCCTTGGGTCATGGCAGGCGGAAATGTGAAAACGTTTCAGGGTTTTTCATCCATTACACCAATATTTATCAGAAGTCTGCTTTAAATGAGTCGATTACGTGTCGTGAGCCCTCTAATCCTTATCTTGAGTATTGGAGAAAAA